AAGTCTGACTTACTATGTATATGCATTGTCAGTGTAAGGAAAGACATTTGGAAAAGTACTGCATACAAATGAGGCAGTTGGACCTTTGGGAAAGTATCTTAATGAGGCAATTCAGGTGGATAAAAAATTATTTGATTTCAGTAAAGGCTTAGTCCTCAGGGAACTCTCAGCTTCCTGGGGGAAAAGAGGCTAAGAAGAAAGAGCTAAACACATAAATATTCTGCATGTGAGGGAGGAAGACACACAGGTAGTTTAGAGATTCCCTGCCTGGATTCTAAGTTGAACTAAGGCCAAAATATATTCAAATTATTAAAAAAAAAAAAAAAATTTAAACCTACTTCTAAAATTAACTCAAAACTAAGCCAAACTTCCTATACTTCTTTTGTGTCACCCTGGAGCCCACCTCTTTGCATCTCATGGTCTTGGGACTCCAAAGTCTGTGTAACCCATGATGTTTTTCAAACAAGATGATGTGTTCACACCTGTCTTCTCGCATGTACTCACAGAAGGAGTCTTAATCATCTTTTTAACTCTCCCTCCCTTTTCCTTACACCTAAACAATATCATCCAATAATAGGATCTCCGTAACAGTTTGTTGAATTAATACAACTTAAATATGTCCGTATATGACTTGGTTCTTCTTATGCCAAGAGTGAACTCTGTACTGAATCAGTTAATATCCTACCAAATAAAGGAAATTCACACTTGCTTTCTTGTCAGGTTCATGCAAATATTGAAAACTCTTGGAATGAGGAAGAAGTTTGGAGAATTGAAATGTATATCTCCTTTGGAATAATGAGCCTTGGCTTACTTTCCCTGCTGGCAGTCACCTCTATCCCTTCAGTGAGCAATGCTTTAAACTGGAGGGAATTCAGTTTTATTCAGGTAGGTGGAGTTTTCTTTGTTTGGTGAGGGATTGGGTGGCATAGAACTTAGTTGTTAAGTACAGTTAAATTCTAAATATATTCCCAAATAAATGATGTTCCTTACTTAAAGGGGAAGGCTAAGGTCCCTGGGTGGAGCAAACAGTTTGTTCTCAGCTACTAACTGAAAGGTTGGTAGTTCAGATCCACTCAGTGACATCAAGGAAGAAAGACCTGGCAATCTGCTTTTATAAGATTAAAGCCATTGAAAACCCTACAGAGTGCAATTCTACTCTGAAACACGTGAGGTCACAGTGAGTCTGAATTGACTCAACAGCAAAGGGTTTATGTTTATGCAGCTAGCTTGGGAAACATATAACTGGAGTCCAGCTTAGGACTATTCTGGTTCAGTAAGTGAAAGACCAGGACGAGAATACTGGAGGGCTCTGATAACACTGCCCACTAAGATAAGGAGAACTCAAAACCAAAAAAACCAAACCCACTGCC